ACCACACTTGAGGCTTGCTTGAGTAATAGCCAAAGCATCTGAAACTCCATTTTTCACTGAGTGTGATGGGACCCACTTGGAACCTGGCTGGAGACAGCCCATCATATACATATTGTGAGTCCATGGAACTGGAGAAGTGCTCATCCTTAATTAAAATGAACCCATTATATCTCTGATTGGAGGTACATGAGAGGGTCACAGATCCTCCTAAGGTTACAACAGGGTATGGAAGTGTAGACAGGGTGGGTTTGTAGTAGACACCTAGAAGAGATACATATGGAATTTTAAATGAGTTCACACAGTCTGGATTGTCCCCCAGACCGGAATAATGAGTGGGGATACATTCAGAGCAGACTTTTTAAAGAGTCTCATCTGGGAATTCATATTATTCCTGAGTAATGACTCACCTGTCACCAACAGCTACAGGGAGGTACTGTACTGAGTAGTTGACCCGTGTATAACAGAAGGACACATGGAACCATCAGAGTATCCATCTCTCTGCTGACTCTGCCAGGCTCACTTATCAGAACACCCCTCAGTGCTTTCTGTATTTTGACTCCCTAATCTGCATGTTGTATATGTGGGTTCAGGAACCTGTCCATCCCTGTACTTATCACACATTAGGGTCTCCTGGGGAAACCTGTTTCAAGTTCAGTGTCATTCAATAGGGAGCCTGGGGCTTCCTCACCTGAGACTATAAGCTCCAGGATGTCACTCCCTTCTGACCACACTTGAGGCTTGCTTGCATGATAACCATAGCATCTGAAACTCCATCTTTCACTGAGTGTGATGGGACCCACTTGGAACCTGGCTGGAGACAGGCCAGTATATACATATTGTGAGTCCATGAAGCTGTAGAACTGCTTGTCCTTAATTAAAATGAACCTGTCGTATTTCTGATTTGAGGTACATGAGAGGGTCACAGATCCTCCTAAGATTACAACAGGGTTTGGCAGGGCAGACAGGGTGGGTTTGTAGTAGACACCTAGGAGAGATACATATGGACGATTAAATGAGTTCACATAGTCTGGATTGTCCCCAGAACTGAGTAATGAGTGGGGATACATTCAAAGCAGACTTTTCTAAAGAGTCACATTTGAGGATTCATATGATTCCTGAGTAATGTCTCACCTGTCACCACCAGCTCCAGGGCGTCACTCTTCTCAGTCCACCCAGCAGAGTTATAACAGTAACAGTGATATTGCCCTGCATTATTCTCTCTCATGGATGGGATGATAAACTTAGCCCTGTGATCAGGCACTGGTGCCATCAATCTTCTCCTGGGTGCTGGGCTTCCTTCTTTATACAGGAAATATATTTGGGTTTCCATGGTTCCCTCACACCAGATTGTCACAGGATTCCCTGAGGTGATCACAGAGCCTGGCTCAGCCCACATTCTGGGTTT